CGCCCGCACTTGCCCCGCGCGACCAGCTTTCCCGGGTCGGGTCCGGGTTCGCATTTCCGACCTGCTTACCTAACCGTATCGGGTTAGGGTCGACCCGTTTGAATCCAGGTCAATTCCGAGTCCGACTCGAACCCGACCCGTGACTCGAAATAGACACCCCTATGAGCAAATGAGGCTTCATTTGGGATGATATTTTTAATGTTTTTTAGAGTAATTTTTTAGTAAAAAGAAAAATAAATTTATGTATTAAAAAGCTGCTTTAAGAAGCAATAAAGAGCCATCCCAAATGAAGCCTGAGTGTAATTGCTGAACGGCTATATATTTTCTCATAAAATTCATTTACTTATATAATTAATTAATTACCAAGAATTAAATAAATAGAACTGTTATATTAGTGAATAAATTTGTTAACTAAGACTACGTTTGGGACAGACTTTTTTACTACTTTCTAAAGCAGTTTTTTAATACTAAAAATTTTTGAACTAAAATTTTTTTACTAGAAAACTTCTTTAAAAAGAAGTAAGAAAGTCATCTCAAACGAAACCTAAAACTTGAAAAAAAAAAAACTCATTCAATGATCAGTAAATAGTTTATTTGATAAATTGTTCTATTTTATAATAATACTAGCGAATCAAACATTCAGGATGTCTTCTACACTTCTTCTTAAAATTGACCACAGCAATCCCTCTATCATTGGATTAGCATCACATTATGCAGTGTATTGAACCTTCTCTTATGTGTGTGTGATTTGATGAATTTACACTTAGTTCTCACTGCTCTATCTATATGCATTCTCTTCTTCTTTCACTAACTGGTTCATCTTAATTTTTATGATTAAGGTTGATGTGATTGCTGCTGCGGATGATGTTATTTTAGATCAAGAAAATATCATCTTATATATCTTGAATGGCTTAACTTCTGAATATTAAGCTTTTAAGACAAAGATCCACACCAATCTTCAACCAATTAGTCTTGCTGATTTATCCTCTCTTCTTTGTAGTGAAGAGATCAATTTAGCCTATCAATACATGCTTGATCTCTAACTTGTGCTTAACCAACTTTTTTTATATGTCCCATAACTACACATGATCTCTTATTGATCCACAAATTCACTTATGAAAATCCTTATTCTATTTACTTTAATGTTGTTGGTTATCAAATTAAAGGATTTGGAGGCCAATCATCTCCTACTCCAATTCCTTAATCATGAATGGTTGCATCCAATTTCACTTTCAAGTTCCTCTCAGTTGTAACAAGCAATGTATATATTTGTTACCATAAGAGCCTCTCTAAATATATGTCATATAAGACTTTAAAACTCACATTATTCCACCTTAAATTCTATAGATCATAAGGTTAATCTAGCCTTATATATTTCTTCTACACATTTGGGTTGTGTTTTTTTGTAATATAGCTAAATGTCACAAGCTCCCCTTTCAATATTTACAAATTCTAGCACTAAACCCTTACAATTTGTTCACTCATATGTATGGGGAATCATCCCAATTTCTTCCACTCATGTTTTTTAAATTGTAAATATTAGTTGTGAATGATTATTCTTGTATTTATTTGGTTTATCTAATGCTTCAAAAATTTGAATCTCTTGCTAAATTCGTAGAATTTAAAATTATGGTTAAGTGGTAAGTTAATGCTCTTATCCTTATTTTTTACACAAGAAGAGTTGATAAATATGT